ATTAGAAGAGAGGATCTCCTCATCCCCTGATTTCAGCACTTTGGAAACTCCATTACAGTTCAAAGTAAATCCGCCTTCCAAAGTTTTTTTCACACTGTTTTCGCGTTGGGAAATTTTTTCCATGTCTACGGGAGTCTTCAAGCTGTGAAGTTTGAACGTGGCGTTTATGGTACAGGGGCAGGGCATCTGGATTTCTAAAAATAAGGCAAATGACTAGTCCGTGAGGATGCCAAAGAATGAAACCTTCCAAAGCCTGCCTTCCTAATATCAGCGATGTCCTCTGGTGTGACAGGCCTGATGGTATTCACTAGAGCAGTGGTTCTCGAACTTTTTAGACCAAGTACCACCCCTAATCCAACCAAAGCATCCAAAGTCATCATCTCTTAGGAACCCCAGAAATTCTCAATGACCAACATGAACGCAGGTGCACACACACTCACACATACATACTGTATAATAAATATTATAATAATAAACTTTATTTGATATAGCGCCTTTAAAGGTGGCTTCTCAAAGTGATTTACAGAAAAAAACAGTAACAACAACAAATAAAAATGATAAAAAAGCACCATTTCAGTGAGAGGGGTGAGCCTGTTTAGTCGAGCAAAGCCGATGTGAATTATTTTTTTGAGCCTTGATGCAATGCACAACAGAGTCTAACAGATTTTAAATCGTCAGGCATTTTCTTGATGGCAAAGGTCTCGCCGTGAATGTTGCAATGCGTCCATTCATTTCTGGAGCAACCTCTCTAGTTCGTGCAGCTACACCGCTGTGTCGGCTTGTCATCGCTCTAGCGCTGTCGGTACAAACTCAGACGCATTTTATCCAGTCGAGGCCATTCTCTTCGATAAATTAATTCAGAAGCTGAAATACGTGCTCTCCTGTAGTTCCTGTTGGTAGCGTCTTACAGAACAGAAAGTCCTCACGGGACGTACTACAGACTCATCTAATTGCAGTGAAAAACATCTGCTCATCTTAACATGCTCTGCAACGTACTTTTAATATCATCCGTCATTTCAATAATTCTTTGAGTGACTGTGTCTTTCAGGGGGGGCAGCAGGTCGGGCTGTTTAGCAGCCTTTTCTCCACACATAATACGTGTCAGCTCTTTTGCCAACGGTAAATAAGGTTCTTCAAAAATAGTTTGGGGCTTACCTGCTTTAGCAATCCGCAAGCTTGCATTGTTCCGCGTTTCCGTTTTTATTTCCGTATTTATTTTAAGTTTTTATTTCATGTGCGAAACACAGAGACGCTCGGTGTATTTTTCTCAAATGAACCTAGAACAGTTCTTAAATACTTTTCTGTTATCTATCACGCTTTCCTGCGCTCACAAGATTACCAGCATTCACAGCACGTATTTCTATGCTTTCCTGTGTTTTCAACATTGGCATTGTTCCAAAATCACGCACATTCTCCTACCTCCCTATTTGCTGGAGATAGCTTTTGTTTTAAATACAATTGGTCACTTACGTTCATAGCATGCATTCCTATAGAGTGGTATAGAATTACAGAGTATCTCTTGTGTCCACTGAAGTATTAGCACGCGCTGTATCGTAGTACGTAGGCTGCGTATTCGACACGTATTAAAACAGAAAATATGAAAACCCGTCTCGATTTTTCAGCGCACACGACACAGTTCCAGGGTCATATGACGTACCAGCTGGCGGTGCTCCACGTACCACTGCAGGTACCCGTACCACAGTTTGAGAACCACTGCACTAGAGCCTTCCCAGAGTTACAGTGAGCGCTTCAGGCATCCCAGGTCACATCACCAAGACGCGACCTGGCAGTCTGGGGCTGGCGCTCAGGCCAGCGTCTTTACTGCCGATGTGTGATCCGTGCTTTTAATGGGAGTATTATTGTGTTGTGAAGACGATGTTGCATGTTTCCCTTGTGGCTGAATCCATGAGTGCTTACCATCCACTCCTCCAAGTCAGTTGTTAGACATTAGGTGGGTGCTTTATTCAGA